AAAACCGCTAGAATCGGCAATGAAACTGAAATTTTGCTGTGTCGCCTATTTTAATATTTTTTGGTAAGGCTCTCGTCACGTGATTTAATGTTACTTTCTAGGCGATTCTATGCCTAGGTGCTTTAAGAATATATTAGAATTATGTGATTATTGATGCAAATTTTGAAAAAAATTGTTGTTTAGAATATATAACATTTTTGTTAGATCTAGTGGGAAACCGCTGAGTTGGCAACAGTGCTAAAGTCCCGTCTACATTTAGCATTTTACTTGTCAGTTAAAACGGAAGACCGTCTAGAGGACTGACGGCAGTTCTGTAGGCGGTCTTCCGCCGTGTTGTCAACTCTTCGCTAATCGTCAAAAGTCCAAAAGTCCGTCAGAGCAAAAACCTACTAAATCTCAAAAAAATCGATTTCGTTAAATAAATAAAAAGGAAACCATTTTTTATACATTTTGACCTAAAAGGTAAAGTACGGTCCACACGCAATGACTTATCATACGATTTGCTTGCGGCGTCAAAACGTTGCAGATAAAACGTACAGAACAAGTTGTGTCCACATTACAATAACTTGTCTTTGTATTGTTTACTTATGTGTTCTGTAGTATTTCACTTTTGTATTCTGTCATATCATGAAGAAAACACTGTTGTGGTTAGTGTTCGCTATTTTTTAAATAACTTAAAAAAAGTCAAGTCAAACGTCTAAACTACGCCTCTAATAGTGAATTATTTTTTTTCGTTACTTTATCTCTTGTCACTTCAGAGACCACCTCCTTGAACTTTTCAATAATCATCTCGTAGGCCTGACTTTTCTTTTCTCTGTCACTGTATTCTTTTGATTTTACTCGCCATAAGCAAGAAAGACTCGTACAGGTCAAGGAGCTCACTGAGAAATTCATGTGAACACTGCCGTAGGCCAGAGATTATTTGTATTTGATTAGCTGATTAAAATTAAAATAAAACAACAAATCGTTGTGAGTAGCTGAAACTTTTAACTCAACTTTCCAAGTTTTTGCAGTTCTAAAATTTGTTCAAACTTGCTGTCCACACTATGTTTTATCTGCAACGTTTGTGTTGTAGACGGAGCTTTAAGAGAATAAATTTTTATTCAACAATTCAATAATCAAAAAAACATTTTTTGCAAACTGTATATTATGACACACTGTTTTTAGCTTGGCGACTTTGGAATCATAAAACTGCTACCCAATCAGAAAACTGACACTTATACGGCTCCGTTCGGTACTTCAGCATATATGTCACCGGAATGTCTCAGAGGTGACATTTCCATTAAACTGGACACGTACAGTTTCGGCGTCGTTCTAGTAGAACTGATGACGTCATTGCCTCCAATTGATACAAAAAGACAAGGGATAGATTTGGTAAGTAGAAATATACGTTCTATTCAGAGATATAGAGGTAGAGAGATTGAGCATGAACGTGCGTAGAAACACTAATTATGGTAGCTGCCATGTTTGCTCTAAGGTCTATAGGGGGAGGTCAGAAAGTAATAGTGATTATAAGTTTTTTGACTTGACGGTCAACTTTAGTTAATATTAAAAATATCGCGTGATATTAATTAAACTACTATAGTATACCGGGTGTTTCTTAAAAGTAGCTCACCCCTATAACTTTTTTATTTTTTCATATAAAAAAACGAGATTTGGTAGTAGTATATGATATAAGTTAGGATTGATTGATGGGTATGCAATTGTTTTCGGCCACTTCCTGTTTCACCAGAATTGACTACAACTTTTCATTTTTAAATGATACCCTCGGTATTTTTTTACTTTATTCGATAGAAAATTACACTCTGAATAGAATATATCAACTTTGTATCAACATGTCATATGTCAACTTTGACTTTTATTTATAAAAAAATGTACCTAGGTAACATACATGCTGGATAAATGTGAAGAAGATATCGAACCCATACTAGATAGGACGATAGGATCTTGGGAACATGACAATATTAATTTTGCCGAAAAGCTGTTTAAATTGGCGTTAAAGTGCCTCGAAGACAATAAAAAGAAACGACCAGAAATGGTCCAGGTAGTTGACGAACTTAGACAGATTGTTCAGTTACTAGACTGAGGTGCCTTAATGTTTGCAATTTGTGATATAATTAACTATTTCGGTCACTTTTCTGAATGTGGTAGCAATAATTGGTTTTGTTTTAACGCTAAATGAATTTTGAACTTTCATTGCCTTTATATTTCATTTGACAAGTATTTTCCGACCTTTGATGTTTAAAATATATTTTATCTATATATACGCTACTGAAACAAAGGGGTATAATTCATGAAATTGATATATCTTATTTATTTTTTTAGTAATAAACCCCCAACTGTAATTACACACTTTGACATAGAATCGGTTATAAAATAAACCAGAAAATATATATATTTGACAAGAGAAAAGTTAAACAAAGCTGTCAAAAAAGTGATTTGAAAATGGTAACATCTCGCTGATTCTAGATAAATGAAAGTTCAAAATTCTTTTTTAGTATTGTATGTGTCTTGATGTTATGTGATTTGTTATTATTATTTTTTATAAACAAAACAAACAGTGGCGGCTGTTCCTATCCAACCACCAAAATAAAAGTAAAAAAATAAGTACCATATGATATGAAAAAACGGCTTCCTATTGGCTTGGAAATTACGATCGATGACATTACCCATATAATTATACATATAACAGTCGTTTTTTTCGATCATGTTCTATATAATTAAATGCATGATTATATTTTTACGTTATATTTGAATACAAGTCTATAATGACGTCATTTCTAGCATGATAACTAGAAAGATAGACTTTATGCACAAAAAATATCCGTTTTTTATGCACTAAAAATACGGAACTCACGAGCCGCCACTGCAAAAAGGTATTACCTATATACAAAATATTTATTTATTAGTATCTCATATAAAAATAAACTTGAAGACAGTACTACAGTGCCTTTCTAAAATGGATGTATTTCTTCTGTAATAACTATTTTGATATTGAATCATTATTGTATATTGTATATATTTGTATAAGTAATAATTGATTTTGTATATATTTTTTGTACCTAAAAATAGACGAGTTTTTAACGCTGTTTTACATAAAATAAACAAATA